TGTGTGCTGAACGCGTTGGTTACGGTGTTGAGCTCGTAAAGGGCCACGTCTGATGAGTCCTGCTGAGTCGACACTGGTGCTGAGGCAGCTGTCGAAGTTCCTTGTTGGGGATATTCGATGCTGTTGCTCGTTTTTGCTTCTTTCCCGCTTTTTCAGACAGGCTTTTTCAATGTGTCCGCGTTTCTTGCAGTAGTTGCAGGAGACTGTCTGGAACTTGCAAGTGTCCGGATTATGTAGCGCGTTACAACGCCAACAGCGTTGTTTCTTCTTTTGGGCAGAGGCACTAGAGTGACCTTGGTTGTCTATCTTGCATGTGCTTATGCAGGATTCGTGAAACTCTTTAAATTCGGTTTTCACGCGTTTCTGGTCTTCGATGGCGTTTTCAGCTCGCAGTGCAGGTCGAAAGCTTTCTTGAACGTCAAGTCCTTTTCTGCGAAGAGCCGTTGCTGGACCTGCTCGTTCCGAAGACCGCAAACGAAACGATCACGCAGCATGACGTCCATAGGCAGCATTGTCGGATTCGCTGCAGTGTCTGCGCTTGTCCCGAAATTGCAATCTGCTGCTAGCTTCTTGAGCGCCGTGACGTAATCACTGACCGTTTCGTCGTGCTTTTGGTCACGTCGCTGGAATCGTGCCCTGCAGAAGACCTCAGACGGTTGTGGATCGAAGTGAGCCTTGAGCATCTTGACTATGTCCTCGTAGCTCACTTGGTTGGGCTGCTTGGGTTGAACGAGGGCGCAGACGATGTCATAAGTCTGTTCCCCGCACAGCGTTAGCAGATGAGCACGTTTCTTCGATGCGTCCGTAATCTCGTTAGCCTCGAAGAAGAACTGTAGCCTCCCATACCAGGATCTCCAGGAGCTGGGGCTGCCGCTGAATTCGGGTAGCCGACCGAAGTCGGGCGTCGCCATGTTATTTCCTTGACGTCGGTGGAGTGCCGATGAGTCGATCCAGTCTTCCTCGTCGCCAACTGTTACGTCTGTACAGCCGCTTGTGACTGTAGACGATTTATTAAAGGACAGGAAACGTGAACAAGTTCAAAAGCGTAGCCCAGGCGTTGGAGTCACTCCTGGCCAGCGTTCGACGCCAGGCTCGCGCTCGAGCCACAGCGCCAGTGCCCCGCGCGCACTTCGTTAATGTCGTCTTCTAAGGCGACATGTCACGATTGCAGCCAGAGGATTTTGGGAATGGTGGACCCTCCCAAATAGGATGACCCCGAGCACACAATCTCGCGAACAGTGTTTCTGGACGTTAAAGGTTTTTTTTTTTCATCATCAACAAATATCACGACGCATGTCGGTATAGCACCTGTGGTTTGTTGGCTCTCCCGACTGGGCAACAGGGAGTTTAATAAACTCGTTAAAAAATGTTGCTTGTAGGGCAAGTTGGTACATACCTTAGCACGAAAAAAAAATCCACTAAAACGTCGACAAAGGTAAAACTGAGACAGAAGCTGAGACAGTGAACACAGAGGTGAGAGCCGCCTCTGTTTTTGCTGTGTCTGCTTTTGCCACTCAGTTTTTACTGTTATTGGCGGCTCCTATTTGCTGTTTTCGCTGCATTTTTTACTCACCTTTAAATGTTGTTGCCGTTTTCTGGTTGCACTTCTGGCTTCAGAGGTTCAGCTACTAGTGTTTAAGAGAAGAAAAGATTTTTTTTTGCTTATGCTCAGCATACTTCGCCTGCCATCTATACTGACGTGCCGCTCGGATTAAAGAAAACAATACTTTTTATTCCCTTTCTGTTCAAGTAAAAGCATTGTGATTACCTTAAAATTTGCAAACATCTTCGTTGATTTCTCTTCGTTCGTTTTTCGTTTCTCTGGCAGTGCCAAATTTGTAATTCATTAAATATGCGTTCAACCACCTAAACTACGTCACGTTCTATCGACGCAATGTATCTAGACATGATTTCCTGCTAAATTTTACTTCTTGACCTTATCATGAAGGTCATGATCCTTGCTGCTTTTGTGCTGTGTACACATGTACTGCCGTCAGCACCTCTAACACAAACACTTTGATGCTCGGCCAGGGCTAGTTTGATTGATGCCAGCCACGAAGTGCTGGGCACTTTTACCGAGACAATACCTCGGTAGGCTTGGATAGTATGTCGGCATGCATGGTTAGCATCTTGGCAAGAGAACCCGAACGTACGTGGTGTCAGCGTCAATCAAACTGCTGCAGGACACGCGGCGAAGCGTTCGTGGTAAAGGTGCTGACGGCTGTACGTAAGTTTCTTCAAAAAAGACACTCGGAAGTTAGTGCCAGTACCGTCACTCCCTCCGCGTGTTGCTTCCCGCTACAATAATTTTCAAGAGGGAAACTCCTTAGGTCCACACCCCACCATCGCCGGGCAAGCGTACCGATCAAGTTACAGGTGCGCGCTCGCGCTGCGCATAGCACGCCCGCACACACACTCGCTCAATCGTACCCGTCACCGAGCGCAGCCAGCGCTCTCCGCACCCGCTCCCCACGCTACCCCTGGAGCTTCATGAAAGCCAGCAGGGATATCAGTCGCGTAGTGCTTCACGTCCCATTTTAAAGGAGTTTCTCTCATATTCTTAGAAGGAACTGCTAGTTTTCTTTCGCAGGTCATAAATAAACTTGCTCAAGAAAACATTTTGCTAAGCTATAAAATCAATACACTCACATGACCACTCTACTAGCATATATCGCCGCTTACTTGAGACTCGTCATTCGGTGTCGTTCGTGGTCGGCAGCGCTGTGCTATGCCTTATGATGATAAGGAATCCATTTCGACAGGAAGATCACATTTGTCTTCAGTATGCGACCCGGAAAAATAAAACCGAATGGTTTGCTTTGTTTTACAAAGAGGGTGCCTCTTGCAGCGAGGCATAGCGTAAAAAATTTAAAAAAAGCAGCGTGCAGTAGTATAGAGTAGGTGACGGAGATTAGGGAAGTGATAGGTTGAAATCCTGTGGACATATGCTTCTTTTTTTTCACGAATTTAGTCTTTCTTTTTTTAATTCAACTGATGTCTTTAGAGTATACTGCAGTGGCGGTTACATCGAGTCCCAGACTGTGTTCTGACGATGCGTTAGATGTTGTCGCTATCCTATGCTTCAACGCTGCCTCTTTTGTTGTTTCAGAAACCAAAAGTAGACAATTTCCAGAACTTTGTTTACTTAACACTGAAAGAGTCCTTATTAACTGGCACTTAAGCGTGATCTGTGGAGATTACGCTCAAAGGCTTAAAATTACGAGGCAATAATATATCGCTGTGCGTCGCCAGCAAGATTTCAAGCGTGTCTTGACTCCATCTGCCTAAGACGAAGATTCCGACTGGTTCATGCTACGTCGGCGCGGTAGTTCTAGGCATCGGGAGCTTCAGCTGAGTAGCAGAAAGTTTGAAGTATCTTTTACTCTGCCTTCAAGAAAATAGTATTTTCTATGGCTAACTCTGCACTACTCCCCCACGCAGTAAAAGAACTCCGGCAAGAGTATACAGAGTTGCTCTGATCTTGCAGTGCTCCCTTCCACATATAAATTAATGACAATACACAGTGTTTTACGTACCAGAATTGCGATATGATATTTTATAAGGCACGTCGTGGTGCAGAGCTCAGGCCCTTTTGACCAACTGGTGTTTTAGGGACAAAGATTTTCGCTGGGGACTTGTCTCCCGTTGGTGCCGTAGCCGCTACAGTTCTCATTGCTCCCGCTAAAGGCGCAACCGTGCTCTCTCCGGTGATTTCAAAAGCACTGACTAGAAGGCATGCCTACGCTCAAGGCGGTGCACTCTCGGCACGTGCTTTCGTTATGAACACCGATGAAAGACGAGGTGGTGGCCGAGTATAGGGCTCGCCAAAGCGGCTGCAGCGCGGGCTCACCGTGAAGACTCTGCAGTGAGAGCTCGCGAAACGAAAGGTACAGGGGCTCATCGACAAGCAGACCCGAAGCTGAGGGCCCATGAGGCCGGAGCAAGACTTTAGCACCGGCAGCGGGCCCAAGCCACCACCGATTCAGAGGCGGCGAGGGCCCGCGCAGCCGAAGTGAAACAGGCGCAAAGAGACGCGGACTCGGAGCTTAGAGCCCACGATGCCAAAGTAAGACAGAAACTCGGAGACAAGCAGGTTCGTGTTTCTGTGTCAGGTCCTTGTATGATGACTGAGAGGCAAAATGTACGGAGGATTCACGGTTTACCAAACTTCCACCGGAGCTTCACCCACTCATCATCATTTACTTCGTGGATATACATGTATTTTTTGAAGCGCAGTGATATCACACACCTCACGGATATGTAGCAGTTCGCTACCATGGAAATTCAATCGACTCGGCCAGCATCGAAGCCGCGACATCAGTCGGCAGCCGAGCAGCGTAATGATTGTAATATGCTCCCGAACCTAGCTCCTTTCACCATTGCTTGGTTAGTAGTATTCACAGTATTTTGCACAACCTTATGAGCTATATACCCTCATTATAACAGCTGCATTTGCACCGTCTACGATTGGTCAGGTTACTCTTACAGCCAAGAAATTGGCCTCCTTCACGGCAGTCTCACCTTTCAATCATGACCCGCCATTGTGGTCCAGTGGTTACGGTGGTCGGCTGCTGAGCCGCAGGTAGCGGGATCGACTCCAGGTGGCGGTGGCCACAGTTTGGATGGCGAACTAAATGCTTGAGGCCCGTGTGCTTACAGTTAGGCGCACATCAAAAGAACGCCGGGCGATCGAAATTTTCGGACACCTCCACTACAGCGTCTGTCATTATCATATGGGTGTTTTGGGATGTAAAACTCTGATATTTAAAGTTATTGTCTTATATTCGTGGTTTTCGAACGTTTTAGCCCTGATAGTATTATTAATAATAATAATGTGCAGTTTGTATTATATTTCTTTGCATTTTCAGTTGCTACACGGCTGCGAGTTCTCCTGCTTTTACCTAAAGCACATTTCACGTTAGCCATCTCGTTTTGTTAGAACAATTGGTGAAGCCTCTTCTATTTGGTGGTGGGTTCCATGTTTTACCTTATATTCGCAGGCATTACGGCAGTCTACTACGGCCCGTCCATCGGCGCAATTACGACGTTTAAGCACGGTGTCTCGGGCAATGTGTTCGCCGCCACTGAGATGAGCATCATTATATCGGACCTGACATACGACGGTACAGGACCAGGTAGGCACCCGCTCCTTTGTACTGGGCGAAAATGTGGGCACGCCTCCCATCAAGAGGCCCGTCGAAAAAAAATTGCCACGTATCTTAGTGTTGCGTTGCAAAGGACATCGAAAGATTTCTGTCTGGGGGTGCTGCATGAGACATGGCGCCATCTGGCAATACGGTGAAGAAGCTAAAGTTTATTTAGAGCGCGTAGCCACTGGTAGCTGGCAGCAGCAGGTCTTTTCGTGAAAGCACCTGAATTCTTTAGAGAAGCGCAGGAAACGCCTGCCTTTTTCGTTCATTGCGTCGCCGATTGTCAGCGCAGCGTAATTGGAACTTCCGTATCTAAAATTACGCGTCTATGCATTTTAGACGCAGTGCATAAGTCTTACGTCTTTATGCTGCATCTCAAATATGCTTAATATTTTCCTGTTGATTGAAAATGTTCACAAGTATAAAAGAAGGCAACAGACCATGATAAGAGGGCTTTGAGCATGGGCTTATTTCTTCAGATGGCTCATAAGTTTAAGAGACACCAACAGTTACGTTGGAGTTAACCTTATGTGTTTCCTTGCCGCTGCTGTTGGCCAACAGATCGAGTTTAGCGTTAAATTATTCCAAGAAATTATAAAAACCACGCAATCTTGCGACGTGGCAAACTACTACCACCGGAAGATACCACATATAAAATCACCGCTGCTGGGTATCGCATCTTAACTGCAGTTTCGCGCTTGGGTTTAAATGTAAGCCCGTCAATTTGGTTTTATTGCGATAGCAGTCTGTCTTGCAGCTTCGTCTGAACTGTCTGTTACATTAACAAGGCTAACTTATTACCTCTTTCACTTTGGTTATGTTGGCGTTAAGCTTGTGGTGTTTCATTGCTGCTGCTGTGAAAAATTAACACTTGGTGCTCACAAACCGTCTACCCTGCGGTAGTATTTTTCGGGAGAACTTGTTCTGTTAGAGCTCATCTAGCAAACACTATACAGACCGCACCGGATTGCAGGCCAACAGGGCAACTCGAGAGTCCAACCAAGAACAGCGTTGTCGTGTTGCTCCACTGAATGTCATCTCAGCGCCTGTGTCGTGGTGCATAGCTCCATACCCATGACGCTATATCCATGCAACGCAGGTAGTTTTTAAATAAACAAACATGGACGCTCGATGTGAATTTTGCCGTCGGTGGCTCCCCAGCCGTCGTGTTCGGTATAAAGTTGAGACCAACGGCATCACAGTGTGCATCATGTGTTCTATACGTGAGTGAGCGCGTGCGCGAGCTGCCGGTGGTTTCGACTGAAGCAGATATCATAGGCTCGTTAACAGTAAACGCGTAGTGGCAAAGCGGAAAAGCGATGGAGCTTCTTGTACCGGCGACTGCGCGCACAACTTCAGACCGCACATCTCCTTTTGGGTAGCCGCGCGGCAGAGGAGGCGGGCCATCTCGCACTTTGCACACGTGTCGCTATCACGTGGCTATGCTTCTCCCAAAGATATAACATCGCTATACCTGCAAACTACCTTGGCTCTCTGCTATTCTAGGCATTTATGCATCTAGTTATACCCTTGTTAGACAGGCAGGTTAACCGGGGTTACGACCAACCGTGGTTAACCGCGTTGAACAGCGGTTACCACCAACAAAGGTTCGCCGATGTTTTCACAGCGTTCAAGGCGGCCAACGCCACCTTGCATGCAACACACTGACGTACTAATCAGCAGAGAATCAACGGTTGTTCGCCAATATGTCACTTATTTTTTACGAAATGTTCTACATAAGTACGACTGGTCCACCGTTGAAAGGGAACTGCGTGCACGGATGTTTAGATTTCTCTATCTTACATACGCATAGCAGGTTGGACTTGCATATGCCGTATACTAGTTGTTGACAGTTCTGACTCTTCTTGATAGACCAGTGACGTGCAGAACAATTGTTCCCTTATCCACTTTGCTGTTAGAGGGTCCACAATCTTGCTGGTGCTCTTTCGAGTGTGCCCTTGATAGTGGACAATACTGTACATTTAATCGAATATATGCATCTCTGGGGTAAATCGCTCTACGTCAGGCGGCAATTCGGTGTTCAACTCGGCTTTTATTTACACATACACCTTATCACCACATAGGGATTCGCAGATAACGCAAACGACTTCCCCATAGCCTAGTCAGGCGTTTCGTAATTCATGCCGTCCATTTCGTTCGTTTTTCACGCGAGCTCGCCGGCATCCACCCGTCATTTACGGACGCCGCCATTTCATCGGCCTTGCCTGCCAGATTATTGGCGGTCACTTGTAAAGCCTCTGAAATTAGTAGCAAACGCCAAAAATAGCCGATCTCAAAGGCTAAGTACAAAGACCCTTACTCCTACGTATGCAACGCCGCCATAGATGACCGGCGTTTCACGCTCATCCGGCAGGCAAGGGAAATCTAGGAGGCTATGTCATCGCTTATAACCGCCATGTCGGGGTTGCCAAACTCGGTTTCCTACAACCGCGCTTGGCGGGCAAAACACGGTGTTGCGCACGATGTAACATACGGGATCCGTGGTTTCACATAATCACGGGTACGTTAACAACCCTTTAGGCTGCCTTTGTAAAGAAATTACACATACGAGCCGAGTTGAACGCCGAACTTCCACCTGACGTAGCGCAATTCACTCCGAAGATGCATATATTTGCTAAATGCACAGTATGGTCCACTGGTAAAGGGGACACCTAAATGAACATCAATATTGCTGGCCCTCGCCTTTTATGTGCAACAAGGACCCTTGTTACACGGCAGCCTAAACTGTAGTTAGCGTCCGTGGTTATGCGTAACCGTGGTTCGCGTACGTTAACCACCAAACCTGGGTTGCCAAGCTCGGTCCCGTACAACCATAAATAGAGGTATAACCGCTGTTTCGCGTGCCGTGTAACAGAAATGGAACTGCGGTTAAACACAGCCACAGTTACGTTAACTGTGGTTTAGGCTGCCTGTGTAACGAGGGTTTCACGTAATCAAACCGCGGTTACACACATAACCGTGGTTTAGGCTACACATCTGAGAAACGTATGAGACATGTGGGGAGAGGTGGTGGAGGGTAATCGGAAAACGACTAATACAGCACACGATGGGCGGGTGTTTATCTCTTCCTGTGGTCCCATGAAGGACTGTTCACGGATTGAGTAACCCAAGTTCTGAGCTCAGTCTGCAGCTGACAAGACACTAAGCTCAGCACGTGTGGTACGCTGTCACGGGTCCCGTTAATTAGGGAGGCGTTTGCCGGGCTAATTCCAAGGGCCGAAATATCGGCTCCCCGAACCGCACCACGAAAGCGTGGACAATTTAGAAGTGGTCCTTTTTGGAGCGCCAGCGGACGCCGGCTGTGGCCCAAAAAACAAGTGAGAGCCGAGAGTGGATAAACAAAACAAAAATTATATTCTCAAAAATGCCAGATCAAAAACAATACACAAGTATGCACACTCCACAATAGTTGAGTACAATATGTCACCAATCAAACAACGTACTACACAGTACAATCAGCCACACTCGAAACGACGGACACAGACAACAATACGCACTACAATGCAGTCGCATGCATTGAACAACCAAGACACTTAAAGACTAAAGAGATAGAGAACCTATTCAGTCCAAAGTTCTTGGAACAAAAGTCTGGATGATACTCTTCCGAGAATCACTCACTCAAAGTCCAGCGTTGTTGTCGTTCCGCTGCCCTTGAAGTTCTTTTCCAGAAAACCTCGCCGAAGTTTCTCTTCCAGGAAACCTCGCGTCTTCAATTGGCCACTCTCCAAGCTTCAAACTTCTTCGCCGGAAACACGTCGGCTTCACACACGCAGCTGTTTCCACGCGTCTTCGCTCGATAGCGGTAAACACACACTCTTGCCTGTCGCTCGAGTCGTCACCCCTCAGGTGGAAATTATCTTCTCCTGCTTTGTCTCTACGGACAAAACCTTCGCCGACTACACGGCGGTATACCCTCGCGCTCTGGCGCTAACTTCCGTCTTCTCCTGATCTCTCATCTCCGCTGCTCGGTTAAATACCTTCCGTGCGCGATTCCAGAAAATTCTGATCATTTCGTCGGCGCGATGCGCAGCGAAGGCTGGGGGAAAGCGCGAGACTGTACGAGGGCCGTCCTCGACGGATTACTCAACCCGGCATAACACGCCCCTTTCCATCTAGAAATTTCGAGTGCTTGCTCGGCCGCCCATGTGGGGTGAGGAGGTTCGTCAGCGAAGCCACGCTTCCGAGGGTAGAAGCGCGCGCCCGGGGAGCCTTGGATGTTTGTTTTCTTTTTTTTATCGTTGACCTCGCGGCGTCACTCCGGCGTTTCGTCGCGAGAATTTGGCGGCGCGCCCTTTTTGAGCGCTCGTTCTGTGACATACGTTAAAGCTGACTTCCGTCGCGGACTATTCACATTGTGCTGTATCACTTGCACGCAGGGGGAAGGTTCATGGCCGACAAGACAGATAAACTCACCGACTCGGGTGACCTGATTCCCGACGAACATGGAAAGTACGTATGTGGCGGAATAGTTTTGGCCCGTAAAAGCATTCATTTTCGTGTTTTTTTTCTGCCTCAAGACGTTCTTTGGGTGTCCCAGAAATAGTTTTTTGAAAGCATACAAGCTTCTAGGCTGCAAGCGTGCGCACGAGGGGTAGCCAGTGGACCCACCCCAATTTGATTCACCTGAAAGATAGGGAAGGGGGCACAAAGGGTGTCACATTTACTAAACATGAGGAATGGGCTACGACAAGCCTTCACCCCCTCCCCCTGAAGGGGAATTCTGCACACATGTATCGATACAATTGCAGTGTATCATTCCCGCCAGAGCTTGAATGAAATCACCGCGTATCGAGAAAGCTACCGGACACTAAAGTTTACCCTCCTGCTAAACCTTGCTCTGCTTCGACTTCGCCGATCGAAGTAAGCACCACATTCGGCGGTCCTCCGCGGACACCGTTTGGCACATCCTCTTTATAGCATACGGTTTCTTCTGTGCACGCCTGCTTCCTCTCCTGCTCCTCAAATTTTTAGAGCAGGGTCTCAAACGCCAGCCCCGCGGGCTTTTCATTTGCGGCCTGTGGTCCGTACATTATCATCTTCGTCCTGTATTGTTTTTAATTCTTTTTTTAGAAAGTATGGTTGAGGGGGCTCCACCGTGGTGCTTTAGAGGTTACTCTTGTCGACTGCTAACCTGAAGGTCATGAGATCAATTCCCTGCTGCAGCGATTGAATTTTTGAGGGAAACAAAGATGTGTAAGGCCCGTGTAAACAGATTTAGATGCACGTAGAAGAACCCCAGCAGGCCGAGATTTCCGGAACCCGTCCCTACGGCGTCTTTCATAATCGTATCATGGTTCTGGGACGTTAAACTTTAGATAATAATTATTTGTTTTCGTGGGGATTTCCATGCTGCCATCAAGTTTCAATAATAATAATAATAATAATAATAATAATAATGATGATGATGATGATGATGATGATGATGATGATGATGAATAGAGTTTACGGTGTCAGAACCACTACAACATCTCTTATGAAAGATGGTGTCGGGGAGGGCTCTGGATTTTCGGCCACATGGGGTTCTTTAACATGCGCCAAATCTGAGCTCACGAGCCTACACCATTTTCGCCTCAATCCAATATGCAGCCGCTGTAGCCGAAATTCCATCCCACGACCTGCGGGTCAGCAGCCGAGTACCTTAGCCACTAGATCGTTGCAACGGGGCCCCACATTGTGTTGAAACATGCCCTTCAAACAAAAACTGTATTTTAGAATCGGCGTCCAGGTCATTACGGTAGGTACTCACATGTTGCCATGCTGTACGCCAAATCTTCAGAAATTAGCTGTATATCAGATATAAAAAAAAGATTTTCTTGCAAAAGGTAACGTTAGCTGACAATTACGACAACCTACCCTCTGCCACTCCCCACCTCCCACTTTCATCTATGCTTGCTTTCCTGGCCCGGCCCTTGCGGGGCTAAATTGCGTTGCAGCATGCGGCCCGCTGGCGAGTTTGACAACCCTGTTCAGAAGTATCGGAGAATTAAACAGAGCGCGTGAATTGATTCTTATTTCGAAGGGTTTAAGGTCCCTGAACCACGATATGAGGTACGCCGTAGCTGAAGATCCTGGGAAATTTGACCAGCTGGTGTTGTTCCGAGATCACGTAAAAAAAGGCCATGGGAAATGCTGTCCTAAATTTTGTTCTGTTTTTTTTTAATAAACCAAGTCCTAGCACTATATTTCTGTTTCGTAAACTAAATAACAGTACTGAAGTAGTATATCAAAATGAAATTCACATGAATAATGTACTTATTAATAGTGAAAATTTTTGCATTGAATACTTGCTGCGATGGCAACATTAAAAAGTTGGGATAAAGATCAATATTTGAGCAAAGGCACTACAATAAAGACAAAATTCAAAGGTGTACAAAATATGCCTCATTCCTTTATTTCTGGTTTTGAAAAGTTTGGTACACATATCTGCAACACTTTTTTGTATGTGTTTCAAAGCAAATGCAGTGGTCATTCACCATGGCGTTTGTGTCGCTGAAACAAACAGTTCCGCGCGCATCAGTAAAACACCATCGCACTTGACATTTGCCGCAAAGAAAGTGTTTTCAGCTCGGTTTACTTCTGCTCATAACAAAGCTCGCAATTCTTACACCTGTCTACCTTTTCTGGCTCCTGGGCCATGTGAATGGAGGAGCAGTGTGGGCTGCCATGGGGTCGTTAAGCTGAAGAAGCTCGTGAATAATCTATTCTCTAAACGCTCGTTGAAACTCTGTCAAATAAATTTAAAACAAAGTGATTAAGCAGCCAGTCTGTTTAGCTACTCGCTAGAAAAAACGAATGCGAAACTGCGCTCACCCACGAGTACTGGCTGGTCCTGGGTCGATCCTCGTCCTTTACTGCTCTCCGAAATAAAATTCGAGCTGTCGAATTCAACCTCGGACTCCTCGCTGCTCGGCTTATCAAAAAAAAAAAACACGGCATATCCACGGAGTGAATGATGATGAGTGGGGCGAAACATCCGTTGGTCTGTCTGTCTGTCTGTCTGTCTGTCTGTCTGTCTGTCTGTCTGTCTGTCTGTATGCATGTATGTATGTATGTATGTATGAATGTATGTATGTATATATGTATGTATGTATGTATGTATGTATGTATGTATGTATGTATGTATGTATGTATGTATGTATGTATGTATGTATGTATGTATTCGTGTACATACAGACATGCATACATACAGCTTTTTTGGAGAAGCTTTAGTTCTCAACACATGCATCCTAGCATAATATACCATCATTGCCATCGTGGAATCCCTCCGAAACTTTGCAGATGGTGGCGCAAGGTTTCCTTTTAGCTACTATAGCGAGAAACTCTGTGGTTGCTGGTACGCTGACACATGTGTATTATCTCTCTTTTTCGGTGTAACCTGGTTTCACTTGCGAAAGCACAGAGTATTGTTCATCGCAAGCAGTGCACAAATGTATCGTGAATTTCTGCTGTGTTTTCGATTGTTATAGTTCGATTCTGGCTGTAAATCTACAACGCTCCATGACATATGCATAAGAGATGGTGCGTCTTACACTAGAGTGAATTTTTTGACGAGGCCGCAGGCGTTTATAGCGAGTGTAGAGGACTTATGCTGACGTCACTGAAATCTTTCCTGTTGGGTTACCAACATGGTGGGACATAATGACTCTGATGTCACATTCACGTCACTGCATGCATCACATGCGGGCTCTACGTGGTAGCTGGGACAAAAATACATCAGCGAAGTCGTGGTAGACATGAAACACTTTAGTGTTAAAATGTCCTTTGACATGTGTCACAGCAGCCTCGTTTTCACACTGACGCAGGTCAACAGCCACATGATTATGCCACACTGACGTCATCAGTGCGATGCTTAAATACCAGTCCATTAGCAAACTTACGTCTGTGTCGTCAAATATTACTTATCAATATTGTTTTGTTGGGTAAAAGTTGAACGAAAGTTCATTTTTTCAGGTTTGGGTGCACGTTAAAAAACCCCAGGTAGTTGAAATTTCCGGAGCTCTCCGCTTTGGCGTCTCTCATAATCATATGGTGGTTTTGGCACGTTAAACCCCACATATTAGTCAAAACTCATTCTTTTACGATTCGGCTGCTTGCATCTTTCACCGTTAAAACCACGTGATTGAGTGTAACCATTCGCAATGTGTACTCTTACAGGACCGAAAAACTGAAAAAATACACCGGTGAAACAGTGCACCTGACTTTGACCAAGAAGGTCACCGAGTACAAGTCCTTCGGCATTTATTGCACAGTGGCAAAGGTAAGCACCGCAGGTATGGAGTCGTGCCGTGGTTCACTATTCTGTGGGTAACGGAGTCGCGAACTTGAGTGAACGTAAGCACAAACACTCTGAAGTCATCGCGCTATGAGTACTGCCATGGCTTCCGAAATGGCGGGTGCGCGACGCCGCGCGCCCGCCATCTCGGAGGCCATGGAACTTCTAACAGTATATGGTGTGTATAAAAAGATCACCGTTAGACACCTCCAGTGCGTACGTTCTGCGGACAAGTTGTTTCGCGACGCACTTTGCGGAGCGAGGCGCGTATAGGGTCGACTGCCAACGACGCAACTATTAAAGATGATAGTCTTTCTAGGGGACCTTGGACGCTAAAAAAATGGCAGCATATCCACGGAGTGAATGATGGAGAGTGGGGCGAAGCATCCGTCCGTCCATTCGTTCTTGCTTCCGTCCGTCCATGCGTCCGTCTGTGTGACCGTCCATGCGTCCATCTGCCCGTCCGTGCGTGCGTCTGTTCGTGAGTCCGTCCCTGCGTTCTTCCATGCATCCGCCCCTGCGCCCGCTAATGCGTCCATCCATGCATCTGTCTGTGTGTCCGTTCGTCCATCTATTCAACTTTCCAAGTACCACCATCCCGCATCTCTTCATCAGATATTTCCCATATAGAAGCATCGCCATCCAGCGGACATTTCAAGGACTAAACGAGAGGTGGCACAGGCACACTTTCTTACGGCTTGCCTTCGGGTCTACTTCCCACCTTTAACCACCTCGAGTTCATGGTATATACTAGTTCACTATTTTCATGGCACTGCAGCCCAACGCTCGCTAAACCTTTCTAAAACTAAGGAGGTTACACCCAGCGAGTATAACGTAGCAACCCTTTCTTGTCAGATAGTGTTCAATGCACATGCCAATGGCTGTTAATGGAGATTACGGCGTGCGCCTCAACTAAAAGCCAAATGCTCCTGTCTCTCATTTACCATTAGCAGCTATTGGCATGTACATTGAGCACTATTTTTTATTGTTCAACAACGCACAGAAAATCTCTCACCGGCACCAACCTTGAAAGTCAAAATGTTATACTTGTTACACACTACAACGGCTACGAGGGACGAACGGGTGCCGCTATAAGAAGCTTTGCCCCTAAAATTTGGTCTCTCTGTCTGTACATTTGTCTGTTTGTCTACCCTAACAGCACCCTAAAAGGCACCGGAGTGACCAGCCGATGCCTTAAATGACCGACCCCATCCGCAGCGCCCACCAATATTGCTCAAGGTTCAGCGTTCATACCTGTGCGATTGTCAATTAAAAAGCAATTATTGCGCATATCTGAGGCACCATAGAAACACGTCAATATTTTTACGTATATCTTTCACTATACGAGACATATATAAGCAATTATAGGGACCGTAGAGTTTATCATGCTGCACTGACCACGCAACGCTTGCACGAAAGGCAAGTGTTTCCAACGCTTTCCTAAGACGACATGGTGGTGGCACAACCAACGCCGACTGAATTTCAAGGCCGAAAGGCTGCCGCAGTGACGTCAGAGGGTGGGGGCCCAGTTACGCCGCGAACGCGGCGGAAAGCCTGTGTTTCGTTCACGTTTTAGGAGAACCAACGCTCCCGCTCTCGCAGCTGCTGCGGCTAGATTGGGCCGAATAAAAGATGTGGAAAAAAAAGTCTTACTGAGCATGCTCAGTTGGGCAACTGGGCCCCCAATCTCTGACGTCACTGCGGCAGCCTTTCGGCCTTGAAATTTAGTCGGCGTTGGCACAACCCGTCGCCTTGCGTTCTGCCCCTTATCACCTCCGAGACGGGCGCACACGCCGCGCGCGCGCTTCGTTTTCCAAGATAACTTCTAGATGGTGCTCATGCCTAGCGTGTGACGTGACGAGTCTGCTGCACGCTCGAGACACTCTAACGCAGCGCCTCCACAATACCATTCACCTATTTTCTTGCGCAGAACATCAAATAATCGTTTTCTTCAATCTCTCCAGGCGCAATTTTAAATGCGAAGTATTTATTAGCAAACTTCGGTGACTTTGAGCGTATCTATCTATCTATCTATCTATCTATCTATCTATCTATCTATCTATCTATCTATCTATCTATCTATCTATCTATCTATCTATCTAGCCGCCTACGACATTTAGCTCTCCTGGCCGTTTCATTAATGGTATCGATACCAAACTTGGTATGGCATAAAATGACTGTATGAAGAACATATTTGACTAGTCATAACATGACTATCATGGCATGTATCTCATGAATCTCATAATTTACATTTCATGGTCCTGCGGCTCTTTAGTGGTTTCGTTCACAAGGCATGTTGCAAAACTGATATGGTATGACATGATTGGATGGTGAACACGAGCGACAGACCTTAACATAATGTACGTGTAATGTAACTACATGACTACATGCTACGCTCATGATGCGCTCGCGGCCGTTTCGCTAGCCTCACATATACCTAACTTGGTAGTATGGTACGTGAATAAATGACGAAGGTATGTGACTGGTGCAAACATGATAATCATGAGATGCGTGTCATGTAACAACATCACTACATGCCACGCTCATGATTCATTGGCGGCCGTATCGCTAGTTTCAGTTATACCAAATTTGGTAATATGGGACGTGAATGAAGGACGAAGGTATGATACTGGTGCAAACATAATTGTGATGTTTAGGACGGTTCGTGCACTTCCACTACTGTGCAGCGGCGCAGGAAACAGACAGGGAGACGAGTTCAAACGTTTATATAGAAAAGGGAGGCTATGAAAAGTCAGTGATGTGGACGCCGTCAGGACGACCACCGCGGCACATGAGGAAGAAGTGTCCCGTAGACTCACGACACTCGAGCAGCGGTGCCGTCGTCTAGGAGATGCCTGGACCAGCGCAACTTCGGACCTTGTTTCCGAGTTCTTGATCACTGCCCGGGCGTAGCGGTTCCACGTGCGGGTTCTGGCCAGCACAGCACCGTCTGTGCCGTGCTGAAACGCTGCTCGCCACAGCTTCGGTGCGGCAGCTCAGTCACCGGCGTTCCTCGCCTTGGCCAGGGCACAGCCAGGTACCCTCGGGTGCACAGCTCGCGGCCAACGTCCGAGTCTGGCGCGTCGCTCGGTACGGCTCGGCACCGCTCGGCGATCCTCGATTCAGCCAGCAACTCCCCTGGCACCTGGATCCTCGGCCGCCCTGGACCTTGCCCGGCTCCGTGGTCCTCCGTGCACACGCCCGCGTCTCGCCCGGCAGAACGTCTCGCTCGTCCGAGCTCGGAATTGCACGCCTTGGCCCGAACACTGCGAGCGCACCTCGTGCCACCCGTGCCACCGCGCTCTTCTTCTTTGTCCCGCAGTGCTTGGTGGTCCGCGTCGACGTTTTTGAGATATTTACACGTGACAATTATAAACATGAGATACGTGTCATGTAACAACATGACTACAAGCTACCCTCATGCTACGCTCGCGGTCGTTTCACTAGCTTCACATGTACCAAACTTGGTATTATGCGACGTAAACGGACGACATATGTAAATGACACATCCAAACATGATAATCATGACACGCGTGTTATGTAACAACATGACTACATGCCACACTCATGATGCGCTCGCGGCCGTTTTGCTAGCATCACATATATCAAAATTGGTAATACGGTACGTGAATAAACGACGAGGGTATGTGACTGGTGCAAACATGATAATCATGAGATGCGTGTCATGTAACAGCATGACTACATGTCATGCTCATGATTCATTGGCGGCCGTTTCGCTAGCTTCAGTTATACCAATTTTGGTAATACGGGACGTGAATGGAGGACGAAGGTATGATACTGGTGCAAACATGATAAACATGAGATACGTGTCATGTAACAACATGACTACAAGCTACCCTCATGATATGCTCGCGGTCGTTTCACTAGCTTCACATGTACCAAACTTGGTATTATGCGACGCGAACAGACGACATATGTAAACGACACATCCAAACATGATAATCACGACACGCGTGTTATGTAACAACATGACTACATGCCACACTCATGATGCGCTCACGGCCGTTTCGCTAGCTTCACATATGCCGAATTCCGTATTACGTGACGTAAATGGATTACAAAGGTATGTGACTGGTGCAAAAATGATAATCATGAGATGCGTGTCATATGAGAACATGACTACACGCCACAGCCGAAGGCGCCAATACATTTCGACGTGACGTGGTGCGCGTGCTCGACGGCGTTCCTTTCGTCGCGTCGCGGCGGCGTAGCCATGCCAGGCGCTGGTCCTACCAAATACTCGCAGGCATGCGCCGCACTGCGTTGCTTTGATGCATGCGCGTTTCAGCGCGTCCGACATCCATCCGTCATGATAAGATGGAGACGCAGTGTTGTCTGTGTAACGCATTGGCGCGAAATGCAGTATGTCGCAATTCGCACCGGTTGCCGTCGGGCCGCGCCGACGGACGCTGGTCGTGTTTGGCGTCAGACTATAGAGTGCTCGCGTTTTGCTAACGTAGCGTCGCTCTGCCCAGAGTGCGCGCGCGTCAACACTACATTGCAGTATATTGGGCCATTCATGATGCGCTCGCGGCTACTTCGCTAGCTCCACATATACTAAATGTGGTATCACGTGAGGTGAATAGATGACGAAGGCAAGCGACACATCCAAGCATGATAATCATGACACGGAGGTCATGCACGGCATTCATTTACCTCCACCTCGTAACATTGTGCTGATTTTAAAGTGACATATCAACATTTCTCATTCATGCTTCGCAAGCCATCAATTCCCACTGTACGTGGGATCTGGCCAATTTTTTGTAGTTTTCTTTTGCCACATATTAGCATGTATTTCACTAAGTCTTATCCGTGACAGAAATGCGTAAGGGGAACCATGGTGGAGCCTGGCAAGGTAAAATATCCGCTCACGTGTGCCACACCTTGCGTGTAGTGTATTACCGTGCATCTGAAGGGCGCTAAGTATTAAGCTTAGCAACAATGAAGTCTGAAAAAAATTATTA